TCAATCACATGCACCAGAGATAACATCAATGCGCAGAAACTCGTCATCCAAGCTCTGCTCCGGCTGCCGCATTGCGACCTCCTGGTCAATGCTCTCGAGCCGCGAGTCGGCCTTCGATGTCGTTTTCTGCAGAAACTCTTTCGAGAGAGCGTCCAATCGAGCGGCGGCTTCTCGCATGCGCGGGAGCGAGGAAGCAGGCATGCCGGTGCACTGCAGCGCGAGCTCCACAGCCTGCAAAAGCAGCCAGCCACGAACACTTAGTATATCTCAACTGACAATGAACTCCACACACAAAGCCAGCTGCCCGAAAAAGAAGAAGAAAAAAAAGGTGCATGGGGGAAGGCAGCTAATCATAGGCAGTGTGAGTTCCACAACCTACAAAACTAGCTCGCTAGGAACGAGCTGCTTTTTTAGAAATCCAGAAAAAATAACAGCTGCAACAAGGTTGGAATCATATAAAACACGAGCTCCGGTACCTGCAAGAGCAGCTCGCTAGGAATGCTGTCGAGATGAGGGTCCTTGAGGGCTTGGGCGTCTCGATCCTCCATGCGGCGGGCAGCCTGTGAAGAAAAAGAAGGTGGAAGGGAGAAAGATCAGGGGCAGCTTTGTGGTTGCTAGGAAGAGAGTGAAATGAAAATGTTTGGAAGAAAGAATCTTTAAGTGCAGTGCCGAGCAGGAGGTGTATAGTTCTCACAATAAGGCTCATCAGATGCTCGCTACAAAATAACGGAATTATGCAGTGTTCTCCTTGATTGTGCTGTAGTGTGCTCACCCAATCCTTGATGCTGGTGTTGATACCCTTCTCCTCCACTACAGCAGGCCTCGTTAGTATGACCTCTAGCATCAACACTCCAAAGCTGGAGCACACATGGGGGCATTCAAAGGCTCAACTTAAGAATATGCCAGAAAAGGAAACTCATGGGAATGCTTGATGAACTCAGGAAGAGAAAGCTTGGTGGAGTTAGCGTAAAAGTTGGTTATCGGATACAATCAACAAAAACACCCGTCCAGGTTGGGTTCGAGAGTTTTCAAAAAAGCCCTGCACACTTCAAGCTTTACAACTGGTAGCTTGCAGATTACTTACTCCCGTCCCCCCCACTTCTCCCACCGCCAGCATATCAGCCATGGAGAGGGGGCATGGCTTTGACTCTTGTAAGTCGACTTGTCACCTCTCCCACCACCTCAGCATATCAGCCATGGAGAGGGGGCGTGGCTTTGACTCTTGTAAGTCGACTCAAAAGTCACCTCTCCCACCTCAGCATATCAGCCATGGAGAGGGGGCGTGGCTTTGACTCTTTGCCCCAGCAAACAGCTAACCTCCCACATGTTAGCGCTCTTGCCTGAAACACTCACCTGTGCACATCGGCCATGGGGGTGGCCTTGTTGGTGCGTGAGTAAGCGGGGTCCACATAGCCCGGAGTGCCGACCACTCTGGTGGGATTCACTGTGGTGCCTTCTGTCATGCGTACCAGCCCGAAATCTGATATTTTTGGCTGGTGGGAGGTGGGGAGGAGGAAAGGAGGATGGAATAATGGCAGATGTCACTCAGTCATGCGCACCAACCCGAAATCTGATACCTTGTCAAAATCATACACACCCTTGTCAAGCACCACACCACAAATCAAAGCCAAAGGTGTCTTGGGTTCGAATCCCAGTGTGCGTCAAATAAGCGCCAGTGTCTTAACGAGGCCCATGCGAGGAGAAGATGACTCTGGTGAATGGGAGGGATATTGTTGGGTTAGGGCACAGGGATCGTAGCCTACTTGAGTGTGGGAGGGCTCCAGGTGCGTCCTGGGGGATAATGGTTGTGCTATGCACTATTGACTGATTCGGTAGCAAGCTGGCCAACAAGTGGTATCAGAGCCAAAGGTCTCGAATTCGTCCATACAAATTACTCTTACGGTAAGAGCTAAGAGTCTGACCTGCATGCGGGCATCGAGCAGCACGTTGGCGGGCTTGATGTCTCGATGCACGATGTCAAACTGGTGGAGGTACTCCAACCCCCGCGCCACCCCCACCAGCACATCCAGCACATCCATGCGCTGCTGCAGCGTCAACGTTCCTTTATTGGGCCCTGAATCCTGATGGAGGTAGGATGAATATTATTAGGGACATAAAGTCGAATATCATAAGGACAATAGGAGGAACATTCTAGGATTAAGGTTAAAATCTATGTATATATATAAATATATATATAAATATATATATATATTCAGCAAAATATGAAGAATTTTGAGTGGCTCTAACCAAAGGTCCAGTGTCCGATGTGACTTAACCTAATCACTTCTCTCACCTCCACTGAGGTACTTTTCGAGGTCCCCATTGGAGCAGAACTCATAGATGACAATCTGCTCGTGGTGCTCTGTTGTCATATCCATGTCCACACAGTACCCCAGCAGCCGCACCAAGTGCGGATGGCTCTTTGATGCCATCTCCTCCACCTGCGTGGGAATGAAGAGAAGAGGACAGACAGAGGACAGGCAGACGAGGTGGGCAACAAATTCATGTGTCTCATATAAAGGTTTCCAATTCACCTCTTCGAGAATTAGAAGGATTCATGTGCCGCATATGGATCTCTTCTATGCCATCTCCTCCATTGGCATGGGAATGAAAGGACGAGAAGAGAAGTGGTAAGTGTTAGATGGGAACAGGGAGAAACAATGGGAGAAAGCTGTAGTAGGGGGCATAAGTTGTTACTGTATTATGAATACTACACATATTATTAGTAATGCTTATTATTATTCATACTATTATTCTTGTTGTCTCCCTTACATTCGTGCATTACACACCTCTTGAAGTCCGCATATACCTTGCCTGTTCGCCGCATATAAAGATTTCCAATTCACCTCTTAGAGAAACTAGAAGGATTCATTGGAGATCTTTAATTAAAGTCGTTTCTACTAGGCGGGCCGCGCCGCGGGCGGATCACTAGAGTAGGAAATGAAGTCGGGTAGAGGATCGCAATGAAGCGGGTCACTCGAGTCATTCAGTAGAAAAAGAGGCGTACAAACGTTTCGGCTGGAACCATCGTCAGGAAGAGTAGTAAGAAAACTGGCCGCTTTGATCTCTCTACCAGACACACCTTTCGCCTGAAGTCGTTGGTGATTAACTTGGCTCTCTTCACAGCCCACACCACCAAAGGGTCACCTGGTCATCCCATCGTACAGCACCGCAGTCAACCGCTTTATTCCCCACCCACACCACACCACATTCACGCACCTCTCGTCTGAAATCATTCGTGAGAATCTTGGCGCGCTTCACAGCCCACACCACCGACGGTCAATTGGAGACACCCCCCGATACAGCTCCCCATACCCTCCCGACCCAATGTGATTCGCCTCGGCCCAATCGTTTGTCGCCTTGGAAACAGTGGCAAAGGAGTAGCGCTGACACATGAGCGCCTGGCTGGGCACGACTGACAAGCCGCTGCCTTCTGTCACCACGTCAGTAGCTTGTGTTGCATTGGTTTGTTCCTCCCGGCCTGCCGGAGTGTGGGAATAGGTGGGATGGGAATTGGGATGGGAATAGGTGGGATGGGATGGGAAGGATAGGCACACCGACAGGAAGGGTCAGAAGACCCTGGTGGAGCATGGGAAAGGAATGGACGGGACGAGAACGTGCAGGCCGGGACGTAACGCAACACAACAACTTGTGACTGGCACAAAAAGACACGGAAATGAAGGGCTTTTCTAGTGTTTACAAAGAGGAGGGTCATGGAGACGGGAAGTAGACGAGCAGACGCAAAGACAGGAAGTAAGATGAGCAGAAGCATTAAAATCTAAAAGATAACGTAAGTGGATAAAAGCAACGTCAACTGGGCTACCCATACTTCACCTTGGGGTTTGGACCTTCGCTTCCAGAGCAGAAACAGGCCAATAACGAGGAGCACAATAACGAGTACGCCGGCCACTGCAATGCCGATGATAGCTCCCAGAGGCAGACCGGACGAGGAGGAGGAGGATGCATCTGTGGAAGGAGGAGGAGGAGTGTTATTGGCAGGAGGAGGAGGGGAGGGGCTAGCGGAAGGGGAGCCAGGGGAAGGGGCAGGGCTGTTGGAGCAGGAGGAGCAGAAGTCGGGGCAGTTGATGCAGAACTGGGAGGAGGGGGTCTGCTTTACCACGCACGGCTGGCTGGCTCCTGGACACACTGTGCCACTCTCGTTGAGCTCACTGGAAGGGAGGGAGGGGGAAGGATGGAGGGAGATGTGTTTGTGGCAGGAGGAGGAGGAGGAGGAGGAGGAGGAGGAGGAGGAGGAGGAGGAGGAGGAGGAGGAGGAGGAGGAGGAGGAGGAGGAGGAGGAGGAGAGCTAGTAGCCGGAGGAGGAGGGGAGGGGCTAGCAGCAGGAGAGCCACGGAGGGAGGGGGGGAAGGGAAGAAGCATTGGTCAAAGGGAGGGGCAGTTGATGCAGAACTGCGAGGTGGAGGTCTGGTGCACCACGCATGGCTGGCCGGAGCCGAGGCACACAGTGCCACTCTCATTGAGCTCGCTGGTGGGTGTGTGGAGGAGGGGGGAGAGAGGGATGGGAATAGAAGAAGGGGAGGGGAAGAGAAGGTAGCGTTTATCGAAGGAGGGACAGCAGTCAAAGGGGCCAGCATCAGCATCAGCCGCAGCATCAGCATCAGCTTCAGCAATAGCATCAGCATCAGCATCAGCCGCAGCATCAGCATCAGCAATAGCATCAGCATCAGCTTCAGCATTAGCATCAGCATCAGCATCAGCATCAGCATCAGCATCAGCTTCAGCATCAGCATCAGCAACAGCATCAGCATCCGCAACAGCATCAGCAACAGCAACAGCATCAGCATCAGCATCAGCATCAGCCGCAGCATCAGCATCAGCAATAGCATCAGCATCAGCATCAGCAATAGCATCAGCATCAGCTTCCGCATCAGCATCGGCATCAGCAACGGCATCAGCATCAGCAACAGCATCAGCAACAGCATCAGCAACAGCATCAGCATCAGCAACAGCATCAGCAACAGCATCAGCATCAGCATCAGGAACAGCAACAGCAACAGCATCAGCAACAACATCAGCAACAGCATCAGCAGCAACAGCAACAGCAACAGCATCAGCATCAGCAACAGCCAGCTTCCCTTACACTCACACCTCTCCTTACACTCTCAGACCTTCCATTACAGTCACATCCCCCCTGAACACTCAGAGAGACGTGAGGAGGAGGAAATTCCCGAGGGTGGGTGGAACAATGCCCGAGAGAGCGTTGGCGGCTCTTGGGTCAACTCAGCGTTTAACCCCCCAATACACACAAACAACCCACTGCACTTACAATCACACTCACACCTCCCCTGACACTCACAGGCGCACAGTAATGGGAGGAGGAGGAGATTTCCGAAATTCATCCCCACAATACACTCTCCCCTCCCCCTTTCCACCCCCACTTACAGTCACCCCCTTGTACACACACTCACAGCTCCGTGAGGCGGAGGAGATTTCCGAGGGTGGGTGGAACGATGCCCGAGAGAGCGTTGGTGGCGAAACCCCTGCAGGAGGTGGAGGGAGGGTGGTCATGCGATGTTGATGGGGAGTCGATAGTGTGGGCTAACGTGAGAAGGAGATTCCCAAGGGTGGGAGGAACGGTGCCTGAGAGAGCATTGGTGGCGAAGCCCCTGTAGGGAGGTTGAAGGTGATGGCAATAGTGCATGGCGGTAGTGGGTGGTGATGTGATGTGATGTCAAGAGGGCATTAGAATGACACAGGACAGCACTGGTGGCGAAACCCCTGGGCGGAGGTGGAGGGTCGTGGCAATAGTGCATGGCGGGTGGCAGGGTTTTGAGACGTCTCAAAACCCTTCTTCAATCACGGAGGCGGAGGGTCGTGGCAATAGTGCATGGCGGGTGGCAGGAGATGGCATGGCAATGGGGAATTGAAGTGACATTGGAGAGCATTGGTGGCGAAGCTATTGCAGGGAGGTGGAGGGTGGTAATGTAATGCATCGCATTACACTGTCAACGTGCGATGATAATGGCAATCCCTTGTGGGATAGAGCTAAGTATTAGTTTTATTGCTAAGCACTTTTATCCTGAACTCCATCAGAAGTTCACCGCTTCTAGAATGTCAGAAGCAAGTAAGGAGAGGGAAACACACAGGTATGTGAGATTTGTGAGGCTTCCCAACTGGGAGGGAATTTCTCCGGAAAACTGGTTATTGTCAAAGTGCCTGCACAACGGGGCAACGTGGTCGGAGAAAAGGTTATTGGGTATTATGGAGATCTCTCCAGAGAGCTGGTTATTGTCAAAGCGCCTGCAACAGAAGGCGGTTGGAGTGGAGATGAAGTGACATGTTGTGGCACTTCCCTCGCAACATTACTTTGATACAAGAAACACCAATTCATGGTAGAATGAATAAAGCAGCTATTCTTCCTCAGCAATGCTCGGACTTAAAATGCACTCATACCCTTGCCGTTTTGATTCGAGCACTCTAATGGCGACTCAGGAAAGCAACTTCTGAGTCAACTCTACATGGCATCACATCACAAGCTTATGGCGATGCAGGAACCGTAAGATGCGATAAGAGCATGATAAGAGCATGATAAGAGCATGATCATAAGGCGCCTCAAGAAACAGAATGTGCCATCAGATCAGCCCATGAACGCAGGATCATGGGATAAGAGCATGATCATAAGGCAAGTGATATGAAAGTGTTTTTGAGACGCCTCAAAAGAATCACAAGATGCGATAAGAGCATGATCGTAAGGTGCCTCAAGAAACGGAATGTGCCATTGGAACAGAACATACAGCATGTCGAGTTTGGTGAGAGTGGCGAAGAATGAAGGGATGGTGCCTCGGAAGATGTTTTGGGCGAAGTCCCTGGCGAGATGGGATGGTGCGAGGGAGGAGGTATGGTGGTATGGGAGGGATGGCGGGAGGGATGGTGGGAGGGGTGGTGATGGGTGAATATGGTGGAAGGGATGGTGAGGGGTGAATATGGTGGAAGGGGTGGTGAGGGGTGAATATGGTGGAAGGGGTGGTGAGGGGTGAATATGGTGGGAGGGGTGGTGAGGGGTGAATATGGTGGGAGGGGTGGTGATGGGTGAATATGGTGAGAAGCCCTCCCCAAGCGAGGAAGGGATGGCGACTCGGAAGGTGTTTTGAGCAAAGTCCCTGGCGAGATGGGATGGTGGGAGGGAAGGAAATGGTGAGACGGATGGTGGGATGGATGGTGGGATGGATGGTGGGATGGATGGTGGGATGGATGGTGGGATGGATGGTGGGATGGATGGTGGGATGGATGGTGGGATGGATGGTGGGATGGATGGTGGGATGGATGGTGGGATGGATGGTGGGATGGATGGTGGGATGCTTTTGAGTCGACTCAAAAGTAGACTCATTACACGCGGTTTCTACATTGAAAAGTTATTTGTTGCATGGCAGGTTGGGAAGAGTGTACAGAGAACACTTGTTCGAGCGAGACTTCCAAGGACTCGCCCCTGAATTTCTCTTGAAGCAGACGTGGACACTTCGGGTTCACCCGAGTGAATACGACTGGCCAGTTTTCAGATTGTCGGGCCAAGGGTAGTTGGAGACTTTGCCTCGGCTATTTTCTAGGGCTATCCTCTGTTTGTTATATAGGGGTTAGCTTTGCTTGCTACTGAATAGGAGTTCGGCACTGATGAAGGTCTGATCGGGTCTTTCCCCCGTGATAGGCCGAAACATGTTGTCTTTGTCTTGTTTTAATCAAGAGACGAGTTCCTGCGCAAGCCTTTTCTTTAGCTGAGCATTCAGTTTAGTGGACGGATTTCTACAAGGCTTTGATCCTACTGCTAAAAGGATCTCTATCTTGCTGCTCTTCCCCGATGAGTCAGGACCCGTGGGACCTCACATTCGTGTATCCTTACCCCAACGGAAAGGAAGACGCCGAGATGGAAATTCCCCATTCTGCGATCGTGATTCATGAGGCTGGAACTTCATCTCGGGACGCGCAAGGCTCTTCGAAACGCTTGCGCCATGACAAGGAGTCTGCTCCAGCATCAACTCATGCTAACAAGACGCAAGAAAAGCATGCTGGATCTGCTCCCACCGCGCCTGACGTCAGCCTGGGCAGTACATCTACAGCTACGACGACGACTGCGGATTCTGTCATACCGGAGCCTTTTAAAGGCTGGACGTCGTCTGCTGTCAAGAAGTTCAGGAATGATTTCAAGGCACTCCTTCGTGCGAAGTCCAAGTTGAAGAAGATGAAGCTTCTGGACGGCCAAGGTGTGATCCTGCACAGTATTCGCACCAAGGTTGTGGAGTTTCAGACGAAGTACCCCAAGACCAAGGAGAAATCTGCTGCTTCACTCGCCAGCGTGCATCTGGAGAACCAACAGCGACTCCAAGCGGACTTCATCAAGTCGAAGGAGATGGAGGTTGAGGAGATTCAGGCGGCCACCAGCTCGCACCTTACGGCTTTGGCTACACAGCTTGAGGACTACATCAAGAGCTTGTCAGCGGACCCCGATCTCGCCGTGTCGGACGCGGCTCGAGAGAAATTCCGTCGAATTAAAGGGCTCTGCATCGATAAAGCTCGCGCCGACATAGCTGCAGCCAAGGACGACATCGTCATCCACGAGCTCGAGAGGGTGCGGAAGAAGGAGGCCGAGGATCTGAAGAAGGCTGCAGCGGCGGAGGAGATGGACACCATGGAAACGCCAGAGGTGCTAACCGAGTTGCTTCAGAAGGAGGCGAAGAAGATGGGCGATCGGCTGCGGAAGGAAATTACAGCTGAAGTCGAAGCGCGTCTATCGGCCAAGTTCCAGAAAAAGCTCGCAATAGGAAAAGCAAGACTCCGCGCCTCCCGCTAACAGCTCCGACAAACCTGCCAAGAAGGCGGGTGCGAAGAAGAAACGTGGCGGCAAGAAGAATAAACAGAAGTCTCCTGACGCAGCAGCAGCAGAGAAAGGCTCCAGCGCCAACAATGACAAACCCACAGCCAAGGCTCCAAAAAACGGCGGAGGCGGCCCCGGAAAAGGGCCGCGCAAGAACTAACTGCGAGAGACTACGCGCTCCATCGATTCGGTCGCATGACTCTAAGGCAGGTGGAGTCGCGCATCCGGAATCGAGGAGTTCATAACCTGAGCGCCAAAATTTTGTCTCCGGATGAGAAGATGGCGCTCGGGCTCGGCTTGAAGTTCATACCTACCCCTCCTGCCGACGGCCTTTCCGTCGCGAGAGATTTCGATCACCTCTTTCGTCGGATTTCTCTTTCTTTCTTCTTCAAGGACAGAGGGTCGTCAGTCCTCCCCTCTCGTTTCCGGGTGAGGAACGCTGACTGGCGGCCCGACAGGGATGAGATCCCTGAGCAGATCTTCATCGACACCGCTAGCGACGTCGATTTCTTGCTGAAGGCGTGTCGTCCGTCGCGGAAGCAGGACATCAGTTCGCGAGTACGTACAGCGTTACGCTCCTTGGCGTCGGATACGAGCATGTATGAATTGTACAAGTGATTGAGGGCTTGCGTACACAACAACCAAGCTGCTGAGGGCTACTGATAGAAAAAATTCCTTTTCCACGTTAAGGGACCTTCTTGCAAGAAGACCAAGTAAGTCAGCAATGTGGGTTACTGGGATCTGCTTACAAAAGAGCTGAGCTGTTGGGGGTTGCCATTGCTTACACAAGAGCTAAGCTGTTGGGGGTTGCCATTGCTTACATAAGAGCTAAGCTGTTGGGGGTTGCCATTGCTTACAAGACAACCAAGCTGCTGAGGGCTGCTACTGATGGAAGCATTTCCTTCTTGCAAGAAGACTAAGTTAGTTCGCAATGTTGATTTACTAGGGATCTGCTTACACAAGAGCTAAGCTGCTAAGGGTTGCCCCAGCTTACACAACTTTTGAGACGTCTAAAAAAATCGTGGGTTACAGGGATCTGCTTACACAAGAGCTGAGCTGCTAAGGGTTGCCCTTTTTGCTTACACGACAACCAAGCTGCTGATTGCTGCTACTGCTGGAAGGATCTCCCCCTCAAAGTTGCTGTTTCCAGCCACAGGTAAGGGACCTTCTTACAAGCGAAGGGAAGGGAATGGACCTGCCTAGTTAGTCAGCAATGTGAAGGGAAGGGAGGGACCTGTTTACACGACAACTAAGTTGCTGAGGGCTGCTACTGCTGGAAGGATCCCCTTCTCGAAGTTGTTGTTCCTCCCATCCAAATGAAAGAGACCTTCTTATGAGAGATATTATTAGATCAGCAATGTGAAGGGAAGGGACCTGCTTACACGATAGTTAGATTGCTCAGGGTTGCCACTGCTCGAAGAATTTCCCCCTCGAAGTTGCTGTTTCCACCTAGAATGCTGCGCCGAAGGGGAAGGAGCACTGGAATGAGTCAACAAACGTTAACGCACGCCCACAAAGGTCAACACAGGCCAGCAGACGTCAACACAGGGCAACAGAGGTCAACACAGGGCAGCAGAGGTCAACACAGGGCAGCAGAGGTCAACACAGGCCAGCAGAGGTCAACACAGGCCAGCAGAGGTGAGCAAATGTCAACAGGTGCCACGTCAACAGAGGTCAATGCTGGTCAGCAGAGGTCAACGCAGGGGCAGCAGAGGTCAACGCCGGGGCAGCAGAGGTCAACGCAGGGGCAGCAGAGGTCAACGCAGGAGCAGCAGGGGTCAACGCAGGAGAAGCAAGAAAAGAGATGGGCAGAGCGAGCGAGCGAGGAAGAGAGAGACAGAGTGAGACATGCAAGACTTGCACCCTTGAGAGGAGAGCGATGGATGACAAGGGAATGAGTTCATTCTTAAGTTGACTTGCCTCAAAAAGGGGACGGAGTGAGACACAAAGCCTGAACCCTGAATGCAGCATATAGGGGCGAGAGATGGACACGAAAACCACTCTTTCATCATCTTTGAGTTGATGCAGCGCAGCGCCTCAAAGAGCAAGAAACGTGCACTATTTGGAGCTCCGAGAAACGGGAGCTGGGTGGGTCATGGGGGAACGACTCTTCTTTTTTTTAAGTGCCTCATGGAAATACACAGGGGGGAATACAATAATACTGGCTGTAGCTTCTTGTAACGGGCGTTTTGTAGGCATACAGTGTTTGCAGCTTTGAGAGGCGAGAGATGGATGACGGAACGACTCCTTCAAATTTGTTGAGAAAGAGCGACCTGCAACGCACAGCCAAGCCAGGCATGCACACGGCAGTTAGGCCCAAGTCAGAGTCAGTCAAGCACCAAGTCAGGCCCGCATCAGTCACAAGTCAGGCCCGCGTCAGTGAAGCGTCATTCACAGCGCTCCTCCTGGCATGGCATCTACTACTGCTCTGAGACATTTGAGAATCGGCGCTTGCAAGCTTGTTGAGTGAAAAGACTTTTCATGCGCCTCAAAGGCAGGATGTGAGGTAAGGCATTTGAGAAATGGCATGAGAACGAGGTAAGGTACCTGCAATGCAAGGTGGGGGCAGGAGAACGTGCCGCAATCGAGGCTGTCTGGTTCGTACACTAGCAGCAGCAGCAGCAGCAGCAGCAGCAGCAGCAGCAGCAGCAGCAGCCAGAACCAGAATCCACATTGCTGTCAGCAGACGAGTCCAAGCAGCCAACAGGAGTCAAAACCAGTCAACAGCAGGAGTCCCGACTTCACCGCCGTTCGCATAGGCGACACTTACAAGAAAGTGAGCTGAGTTAGTTTCGTGAGGCCAGTGGGAAAACTTCCAGAAAAGGTATTGTTACCAAGTTCGCTGAATGAGGGAGCAAGGGCGGGGGTTGGTGCATGCATGGTGGCAAGAAGAGAATTTGATATGAAGGTTTGGGAGGGAGTAAGCAAGCAAGCAAGGGCGATTTGGTATATGCATGCGCGGGTGCCAGGCAAAAGAAGATTTGAGATGAAGGTTTGAGAGGAAGAAGTAAGCAAGCCAGGGTGGTTTTGATGCATGGTGGGTGGAGAGAAGAGGATTTGAGAGGGAGGGAATCCCACCCACCCCCCAAAAGAATGGAGGTGTTTTTGAGGTCCCTGAATGGTAGTGAAAGCATGAAAGGCTGTTGACTATGGTGGAGAGGAGAGGGGTGAAGAAGATTCGAAAGTCATTATGTGAAACGCCTCAACGTAAGGTGGATGGGAGAAGAACGAGTGAGAGAGTGAGTGGACGAGAGAATGAGTGCGTGAGGGTGCGTGAGTGGGAGAGTGGGTGAGTGAGAGAGTGAGTGAGCGAGCGTGAGAGTGAGTGAGTGGGAGAGTAAATGACTGAGAGTTCGGGATGAAGAGGAGTATGACGAACAGGGAATTCAGACTGGCGAGAGCACTCAGAGATGCTGGTACGGATCCATTCAAATAGTTGTCAAACACATTGCTGCAATGAGGGGAGGGAGAATCACAGATTGTTGAGGGGTCATTTTTGAAGAGAGAGAAGAGAAGAAATTTGGTGGATAGCGACGCATACAGGATTGAACGCATAGATTCGTCTCAACAGCCTAGCAGGCAGTGCAGAATTGCGTATAGGTATAAAAGGCGGGGTAAGGAGCCGATGGTGGGAGGAGGCAAGACATCTGGTTGTGAGGCATTCAGATCTCAACAGTCTAGTAGGCAGTGCAGGAACGCGTACAGGACTTGGTCTCAGATCTTAACAGCTTAGTAAGCAGTGCAGAATTGCGTACAGGTATAAAAGGCGGGATAAGGAGCCGATGGTGGGAGGCAAGGCACCCTCTATGTAGTTGGAGGAGAGGTCGCTGTGGGAGGGAGAGGGGGAGGGAGAGAGCGACGGGGAGAGGGATGGGGAGAGATCAGCTTTGAGAGATGGGCAAGGCACCCTCTATGTAGTTGGAGGAGAGGTCGCTGTGGGAGGGAGAGGGGGAGGGAGAGAGCGACGGGGAGAGGGATGGGGAGAGATCAGCTTTGAGAGATGGGCAAGGCACCCTCTATGTAGTTGGAGGAGAGGTCGCTGTGGGAGGGAGAGGGGGAGGGAGAGAGCGACGGGGAGAGGGATGGGGAGAGATCAGCTTTGAGAGATGGGCAAGGCACCCTCTATGTAGTTGGAGGAGAGGTCGCTGCGAGCCGCGTACAGGGGGGGGGAGTGATGGGGTGAGGGAGAGGGAGGAAGGGATGGAGGGAGGAAGGGTGGGAGAGAGGGTGGGAGGGAGGGAAGGGGAGAAAGGGAGGGAAGAAAGGGAGGGAAGGGGAGGGAGGGAGGGAGGGAGGGAGGGAGGGAGGGAGGAAGGGAGGGAGGGAGGGAGGGAGTGAGTGAGGGAGGGAAGGAGGGAGAGAGGGAGGGAGGGAGGGAGGGAGGGAGGGAGGGAGGGAGGGAGGGAGGGAGGGAGGGAGGGAGGGAGGGAGGGAGGGAGGGAGGGAGGGAGGGAATACAGGACTTGGATCTCAAAGCTCCCCGGTCTAGTGGATGGGTGGCAGTGAGTGCAGTCTGCAGAAGGGCGTACTGGAGAAGTGCAGTCTGCAGAAGGGCGTACTAGAGTTTAAGGCTGGGTAAAGAGGCGATGGTGGAAGGCAAGGCATGCAGTTCTTGAGGCATCTCAAACCCCATCAGTTTTCTACTGACAGAGCAGAAATGCGTACGGGGGTTGAAGGCTGGAAGGAATCTGGATAACAAGCTGAAAGGTGAGTCATTGCAAGGCAGTGCCAGGCAGTGCTGAATTGCATGCAACATTTTAAGGCCGGTTAAGGCGCTAATGGTGGGAGGTATACCACCCTGTAGGAGGTTGTATGAGAGATCGCTGCGAGCAGGAGAGACCGGGGAGCGGGAGAGAGGAGAGAGGGGGAGAGGGAGAGAGGAGAGAGGGGGAGAGGGAGAGAGGAGAGAGGGAGAAAGGAGAGAGGGAGAGAGGGAGGAAGGAGAGAGGGAGAGAGCGAGAGATAGGAGGAGATGGGAAGAATGGCGGGGGCAGGGCTGAAAACGAGTTGTAGCTCAGATCAGATCACCAGTGCCAGCAGTGGCAAGTCCGGCAATCAACTTTCTACCCCTTTCTATCCGACTGCTTTTCGCTTGACCAGCTTACTCATACCCCTTCCCTCTCCCCCCCCCCCCCTTGCTTACAGACTCTGCAGCAGGGAAAGCTGCCCAATGCTGGCAGGGATGGGTCCTGACAACGAGTTGTAGGCCAGATTGCTGGTGGTGGGGCGGGGTGGAGAGGGAAGGAGAGAGAGAGGGGGAGGGGGAGAGAGAGGGGGAGGGGGAAGGGGAGGGGGAGGGAGGAGAGTGAATGGCAAGGGGAGGGGGCACGAGAAAACCCCCCAATGCTCGCAGGGTTGGGACCTGACAGGGAGTCGTGGCTAGCTCAAATCGCTGGTGGTAGCGCCAGGGTGGGGGGAAGGGGGGAAGGGGGGAGGGGAGTGAGTGGCAGGAGGGGCCAGCAGAGGAAGCTGCTCAATGCTGGCAGGGATGGGTCCTGAGAACGAGTTGTAGGCCAGATTGCTGGTGGTGGGGCGGGGTTGAGAAGGGGGGTAGAGAGGGAGGGGGAAGGGGGGAAGAGGGAGAGTGAGTGGCAAAAGAAGGGCGCAGGAGGGGAACCAACCTATGCTCGCACGGATGGGGCCTGACATGACAGCGAGTCGTACCTCAGATCGCTCGTGGTAGCGCCGGGTGGGGGGGGGGGAGGGGGAAGGGGGGTGGAGTGGAGGGGGGGGAAGTGAGTGCCAGGGGAAGGGAGCTCGCACGGATGGGGCCTGACATGACAGCGAGTCGTGCCTCAGATCGCTCGTGCTAGCGCCCGGGGGGGGGGGGGGGGGGGGGGAGGACAGGGAAATTCCAGGTGGCGTAAAAAGTGTGCGTGTGGTTGGCACATGTGTGCATGCGGTCTTGACAAAAACACATGCGCAATATGTCTTGGCTTATGTGTGCGTCTTGGGTCACTTGCCGGGCCGGAGAGGGGATGCAGTGCGGGGGTGAGCGTGGGGCAAGATCGTACAAGGTGACTTTTGAGTCGACTCAAAGTGACTTTTGAGTCGACTCAAAAGTGCGGGGGTGAGCGTGGGGCAAGATCGTAAGTGGGGACGGCGGGAGTGGGAGGGAGGGGGGGGAGAAATTGGGGGATTGGAAGTCAACCGAATGTGGGACGTGCTGGGTTGAACGAAGTGTGTGTGCAGACAAGGGGTGTGAGCAGAACTAGAGTTTGCTTAGAATTAGCAGGCACAAAGAACACAGGAGAAGAAGAGGGCGAGGGAATGAGGGAAGGAGGAGGAGGAGGAGGAGGAGGAGGAGGAGGAGGAGGAGGAGGAGGAGGAGGAGGAGGAGGAGGAGGAGGAGGAGGAGGAGTGGGTTAAAAAACAAACAGAATATTTCAGGGGATCAGGAACCGAACGAGCTATCAATGCATCTCACAGTGAAACCAGTGTACTGAGGTTGCCTATAGTGGAGCAGATGCTTCCTCCCAGATCAGAACCGGAGAAGTCACTGCAGGCAGGCGATTGCAAGAAGGGGATGGGAACGTCAGGGAGAAGGGGGAGTAGGCATTTGAAGCAAACATGTTGAATAAACACGGGTTAAATATGGGGAGAAAGGGGAAGGAGGAAATTGTGGTTGAATGGGGATGAAGGGGATGGAGGAAGTCTCATTCAAGTAGGAAAGGGAGTCACTTATGTGTGCATTTCCGTCTAGTGTTACTCAAGTACATCATAAATGTGCACTTTTAGCGATGGGTGTGTTATAGGAGGCATTTGATGCAAACCCCCTTGCCGTAAGCCCCCGGATAGAAGCGCAGGCCTCGGATAAGCGCCGGCGCTTATAAAAGAATGAGGGCGCTTATATCCGGTCCTCGATTATAAGCGCACACCTGAAGGCTTACGGATTATAAGCGCCACCCTCTTCTTTTTTATTATAATTTTACTGAAATCGTTGTAACGAAACTCAATATTTTCATTCCCACAGTTTGAATTTCGATGCCCCCTCACCCTCGCCCGGCTCACTGGCAACGCGTCCAGTCAGAATGAGCTGTCAAGGGTGCACGTTGACTCATTCTGATTGTGTGTGTTGGCAGGGAATCAATCCCTGCCAACTTGCACGCGAGATTCTCAGGGTGCGTTCCTGGTTCGTGGCAGGAGCACTGTTCATGCTACTGTTGGTGGCAAGCGTGGTGTGCGCTTGCCACCAACTTTGGGACCGAAGCGCGCGCGCCTCGATGTTGGTGGCAGCTCAAAAAACATTGTGCGACACATACACGCGAAACCACCGAACCAATCACAACAACGCAAATACAGAGCACCAAGCGGTCAACCGGCTGCATGAGAAGTCACGACTCATGAACCAACCAGCCATTGCATTGGCCGAGACGCAATCAAACTAAACTTGTAAACTACACCTGCGCGGCATGACTCGACTACAACTCGATCCTGCAAACCAACCACAAACTGTAAACTCAAACATGCGTCAGTGCAGTCACGGTTATAGAGCACTGGCGAGCAGCACACAACCACACCTCGTAAAGGATCTAGCCATGCCGCAAAGGCTGGGTCTTCTCCTTGTGTTAGCCCTAGCTGTCTTGTTCGATTTCTATAGACAGCACTTCCACCTCCTGGCCGCTAGCGCGGCTGTGCAGTGGATCACCATGCAGGGCGTCGCTGCAGAATCGGACTCCGCGCAGCGCGCAAAGCGCGATCGCCTCCAGCGTGCACGCAAAGCGCGCCGTGCCCGCCGTATCTCGGAATGGATGGACGACCTGCAGGTGATGGACGACGACGACTTCATCAACATGTTCCGCATATCGCGAGAGGTGTTGGCGGAGATTACTCCCGCGATGGCTCAGCCTATGAGCCATTTCGTGGATCGTTACGGCATCCCGGTGGAGATGTGCTGCTTGATTCCGATCAAGTATTTCGCCTCTGCAATGCCGTACATAGACATGGCTATCTACTTCGGCATTCCTAAGTCTATCCTGCACAAGATTGTCGATGCTTTTCTCTTGCATTTCCCACGGCGGTTCAAACGGACGTGGGTACGCATCCCAACATATGACGAGATGGAGGACATGGCTGCTGACTTTAAAGCGGTTAGGGGGCTGCCAAACGTCATAGGCGCTATTGACGGCACCCACATCGAGATCAAGGGATTGGAGAATCACCGGCAGGAGTATTACAACCGCAAAGGCGTCTATTCCACGCAGCTACAAGTTACATGTGACAGCAAAGGCTATATCTGGGACTATGTTGTAGGGCATCCTGGCTCCATGCACGACCAGGGCGTCTTCCAGCAGTCTCACCTGCATGCACGACTCGAACGAGGTGACATTGCGCCTTTCCAGATTGTGGGCGATGCAGCATACCCGCTCCGCGACTACTGCCTCACACCAGTCAACGCCTCGCGCAGACGCCTCATGAAAAGCTGGGAGCAGACGTACAACTACGTCCACTCCGCAACCCGCATGGTCGTTGAGCGGACATTCGGCGCACTCAAACAGAGGTGGTGGCTCTTCAGCAAGCGACACGAATGCAAGCTCAACCGCGTCTGGCCGGAACCGCCTGCATTATCATATTGCACAACATGATCCTGCATCATGACCAGCCACGGAGGGTGACAGAAGACACAAACAGCTGGAGGGAGGTGACAGGCATCGGCCCGCCGTGGTACCACCGGAGCGGCATGCTTGCATACAGGTGGCAGTCGGCTGCTTCAGCAACCCAGGCAGGTTATCGTGCGCGCCGTAAGCATTTCGGCAAACACATGCATAGAGCTTACCGCAGGAGGCACCGCCCCTGGCGCAATGACCGCGCCGTCGGCTAGCGAGACTGCATGTCATCCGGCGACGCCCCTTCATCTTCTTCTGGCGCATCTGCCAGCTCCCTGTCAACCAATGCCGCATTCACCAGGTTGCCCGCGTCGTTGGCGATGGCAGGTGGTTGTGCAGGTGCAGGTACCGTCGCCGGTAGAGGCGGTGCTGGAGGGGGTCGCCACATCCCCGCCGCCATGTGTATTGCGGCGATGAGCAGCTGCACGGTGTCGCTCAGCTGCCTCATGGCTTGCCCGTTGCACGCATTCAGCGTGTCGGAAATCACCTTGGCGGCCGCCATGGTCGCCGTCTCGTTCACGCGTGAACGCCGTGCCGGTACGGGGCTGGGCGTGGCTGGGAAGGGGGGGCAGGGCCGGGAGGTAGACATTTGATGGAATTGAATGTTGTACGTATCTTGTTGCTGCATTGACATGCCCGGGATTTTGCAGATCACGCATGTTTGAATCACTAACAAACGTCTGCACATACCACAAGTGATGCTTTGCAAGATATGAACATACCGCGTGTGCCTTGGAAGAGCCAATAGACACACTCTCGTATATGACGAATGGGGCTTCATGAACAAATGTTACCTTCAATGGCGGCCGCGCGACGAGGCATGCGTCGTTGCTGACCACGGGGCACGGGGGTTGTGGTACCCCCCTCGGGCATATCGGCGTCGAGCTGGAGCGGGGCTTGCGGGTCGACGTGGGTTTCACCAGCGCCTTCGCCTTCGACGACGTGAGGCTTGACAGTTGCAGGGATGCGTTTGAGCAGGTATACGTACTCAAACCAGGGCTTCTTTCTCTTCGGTTTCCGCCCGCTTGTCCCGTTGTTGCGCAGAGTGTCACGGTACTCCGCCTCCATGCGTTTCCAAGCGTGTTGCATGGCAGTGCTGTGGCGCCTCCACTTGGTGCCGCTCTTTTTCATGTGCGCGCGCAACTTCTTCTAATACTGGTTGCCCTGCTTACCCCGCATCTGCTTCAGATCTTCGCGGGTGTACCATTTGGCCGCAGCCAATGCCGTGAGCTCTTCGTCGGTCCACTGGCGCTTAGTCTTGGAACTGCGCTTCCCCTTGCTATTACTAGGTCCGGCCTCCGAGGCATCCGGCTCCGACGCCGACTCGTCTTCGTCGCTTTCTGAAGCGGCTTTGGAGTTGTCGCTGTCGCTATCGCTGCCGCTGGACGACACAATCTCTTCCAGTTCGTCGGACGAGATGTCAGTGTCCCCTCCGTCCGAGCTGTCGGCGCCGTCAGCCCGCGCTGAGCTAGGTCCTGCTCCGTCGCTCCGAGGAGCGTGTTCGTGCTTGATTTTCCCTCGGTTTCTACCACGCTCCTGCTCTTCTTTCATCCACTGAACGTATGGTGGATCCTCCCAGGGCTTGTCATCGTCGGCCTTATCCTTGCCCTTTCTGCTCGGTTTCTGTTTCCGTGGTGGCATGGTGTGTGCTAGCTATGGGACTATGCTTGCGTGTTGAACGGGTGGAGTTGGGGTTGTGTGACGCGTGAGTTGTGCTATAGATTTCGTTTCCACAGCATCACGGCGATGAAGGGGATGGTGCTAAACCAGATCTGGACTGGCTGCGCGGGAGATGGATTTACAATTTCGTGGGTTTGGCGCCGGGAATTTTACCGGCCAAACCAACCCTCTCTCTTGTACGTGCGACCCAGGTGGAGATGTACCCCACGTATTGTTTGGCGGGCGATGTGGTGTTGGGAGTTGGGCCACTGTGCCAAATTTTCGCGCAGCCAATCAGCGTGCAGATGGTTGGCGGGTGAATTCTGCCATCAACCTGGTGTGATATGGAGTACGTGGCAGGCGCAAAACACGGCTGCCATCTACAGTGGCCCTGCCACGAACCAGGAACGCACCCTCAATCACGGCCTTGTACAGTGATATTGTTTCACATTCTGACTGTGTGTGTTGGCAGGGAATCAATCCCTGCCAACTTGCACGCGAGATTCTCAATCGAACCCTGTATAGTTTCGACTCGATTCAATTCGCAAGAATGGGATCTACAGTTTGGTGGAAAAACGACGAATTTCATATATGCTATTACGGTATATAAGCACCTGCGCTTATAAAAATCCTCAATTATAAGCGCACCCCCTAAAAAAACGTGTTTTTTTATAACCCCAGGGGCGCTTCTATCCGGGGGCTGACGGTATGCATTTCCGTTAAAACCATCTCAAACGCGCCGAGCGCATCTGAAGCGCACAATTTCGCTAATAATTATAGGACGACCATGTTCACTATATAACGCGTATAGAGTGGTGATTCGTCACTGTACAACTTACATGGACTTGATTGTTCCGTCGGGGTTACACTCGAGGCCTGCGTCCGGCGTGCACGGATCGCTCGGTGTCCAGCTATAACTCGTCGCACCCATCTCCACCACACATTTCGCCAATACCTTTGCTGGGACATCCAGGGAGTAGTGGCGGGGATGACGAGGGGAACAGAAAGAAAGAATTAGCAATGCAGCAAATAGGACGAGCATCAATCCTCTGGGCTATTTCTGAGTCTATGAAGAATTGCTATAAAGATTGGTGTCGTGCATCGCATTTGAAATCACGCACATTGAGGGGAATTTTCTCAACATACTTCCGACAGTGGTTACACAAGCCGGTTCTGCGTGTACCGATTGAAATAAAGTTGCACTTGGAACGGATAAAGGCACGCGCGATACAAGGCTGAGGGTTACTTATCAGGCCTACTCGACTTTCAGGCCACGACGCCTGAAGCCTAAGCTAAGAGGCGTTCAGTAGCAGCCTCACTACAGCATACACGGCTTTCGCACGAGAGGAATTTTGCTTCGGTACAGACTAAAGAGGTCTATCTGAGAGTGCTAGCAGCCTCTAATGCCCTGAGCTGCTGCAGCGGCAGCACTCAACCCCGTCTTGCAACCTTTATCCTATGGTTGAACAAAATAGGTTTCCTGCGTTATCAAATAAAAGTTACAGTGTGGTGCTTTACGCCTTCAACACAGTTCAGACGCTTTTTACATTTTTGTCAGTGACACCTTCGAGTTGAAGCTGTGAAATCAGGCTAGGCAAGAGTGCCTGAGGTTCTGCTCTGGTACGGCGGACGTTTCAGCTTCGGACTCTCCCAAGGTGTAGAAACCTGTTAGCGAAAGGTGGCGTCATTGCGTTACACTAGTCGTGACCGTCGCGTAAAGTGCTTCGTTCGCTCGTATCTCAGACAGGATACCAGAATTGCTGCCTGACCTGAGGCTCGGCTGCGGCACGTCAGAAGAAAGCTGAGGCGAGAGCAGAACTAAATCAAAATCTCCACCAGCCACGTGCTTGGCGAGAAATGCTGCTGGTAACCTTCAGTGGCGACTGAGCAGACGATAAAAGTTGCAGCTGCCATCGGTAATGCGGTATGGCAACAGTAGCAACAAACCTCTCGCAACGCGAACCCAACCTTTCCAGTCTACAGTTTTCAACGAGTGATAATCAGGCAGGAGGACTGAGGGAGGTGAGGAGGAGGAAGAGGTTTCCCGCCTGTTGCTGTTGTGCCGTCCTTCCCCATCTTCCTCGTCTCGTCACTCTCATGAGTGTCACTCTCTCAGCCTTCCTTCCGTTTGGAACGTCACACTTCGGTGTAACCCTAGATTTCTTATCAATGAGTTCATGCAGGACAGATAATCTTGTTTTTGCGCACACCTTTGTTGCGGTTCATTTGTCCCAATTATTGCAAACGATGTCGTTTCTCATCCGACATCCGAAGCGCGATTGCTGACTGGCCTCTTTTTTGCTGCTCTTAACGAGACGCAGTTCCGTTCTCGCACGTTCGTGTTCAGTCCGATTATCACTGACCACCTTCGAGCCGCTTCTGTGACGAACCCCGGAACAGAGACAGCCTTCAAGGTCGACGTTTAACAGTATCAAACAACGTAATTACCGCCTTGGTGTGTCCAGCATTGACGTCTCGAATAGACAAAATATATATTTTGTCCTCGATATTAGTAGCTTTTCTATCGCTGTCGACGAGAGTTATCGTCCCCTGAAGCACGACGGGACGGTTCCCGACTAAACAGCTTACAGGCCGTTTCTTCTACGACTTATCCTTATTTATTAGCCAGCACGTCGCTTCCCTGCTCTTGTAATCAACGGCTGCACATTTTGCGAGTAAATGGCGGACCGTTATGATCGCCATTGCTTCCCCTTCGAGTCGCCATTAGTCCCACTACCACAAAACCATCGCCGCGGGTTTCTTAATCACCGGATATCTCGTCGTCTACCTGTCGCTCTCGTCGTCTGCGCGTGGCTACTGCTTGCCAGTAGCCTGTTTGCCGGACAGGCGTCTGGAAACCGAAACACTCCAAGGAAAGCCCAAGCTTCTGAAAACGGAAACACTGTTCCAAGGAAAGCGCGGTTCTTACAGGCGTTAAACATATCTTTGGGGACCGTACCCGTTGCACCTCCTGGGAACGCGCCCTCTGGTGACGGGTCCCCTTATGGGTACTTTGGGAACGCGGCTTCCGCAAACAGTCCTTCGGGGAGCATTCCGGCGCAGGGACCTGCGGGCAGTCCCCCGGGGGGAGGCGGAGCGGGAGGGGGGGATGGGGGAGGAATTCCGCCGCCGCCTGGAGGAGGACTACCAGTGGATGGGGGAGCGCCCGGAGGAGGCGATTCAGGCGGAGGACAGGGGGGAGGGGGTGCACCGGTGAATGTAACAGCCGAACAAGGTGAGGAAGCTTGAGGGCCATTGGAAAGGTGAGGAGATTGATGGGTGTTTTGGGAAACCGAGGAGGCTTGAAAGCATTTGGATGTGGTGTTTCAAGGGGCCTTGGGAAGTGCGTGACTGCTTCGCTTGGCTCATCGTGATTATCCAACCAACCCTCCTACATGCCACCCACCCACCCACACTTCCGCTGGCGCGATTCTGAAGGCGTGTGGCAGAGAGATGGGTGTGCCAGATGGCATGTGGCTTAGTAGGTGTCTGATTTTTGCTCATGGCTCATCGTGATTATCCAACCAACCCACATGCCACCCACCCACCCACCCACCCACCCACCCACCCACCCACCCACCCACCCACCCACCCACCCTTCCGCAGGCGCGATTCTGAAGGCGTGTGGCAGAGAGATGGGTGTGCCAGATCGCATGTGGCTTAGTAGGTGTCTGATTTTTGCTCATGGCTCATCGTGATTATCCAACCAACCCACATGCCACCCACCCACCCACCCACCCACCCACCCACCCTTCCGCAGGTGCGATTCTGAAGGCATGTGGCAGAGAGATGGGTGTGCCAGATGGCATGTGGTATCCTGGCGCACCGTGTAACATTGACAAATGGCTCACGTGCGACCCAGATGGGACTGTCAACGGCATGTGAGTGTGGCATGGTATGGCATGGGTGGCATTGCATGTCGCACCAGATGGCATGTGGTACCCTGGCGCCCCGTGTAACATTGACACGTGGCTTACGTGCGACCCTGATGGCACCGTCAACGGCATGTGAGTGTGGCATGGCATGGCATGTGAGTGTGGCATGGCATGGCATGTGAGTGTGGCATGGCATGGCATGGCATGTGAGTGTGGCATGGCATGGCATGTGAGTGTGGTATGGCATGTGAGTGTGGTATGGCATGTGAGTGTGGTATGGCATGTGAGTGTGGTATGGCATGTGAGTGTGGTATGGCATGTGAGTGTGGTATGGCATGTGAGTGTGGTATGGCATGTGAGTGTTCCAACCACTTAACCTATCCTCCCTCACTCTGCCCGCCCTTATGCTCCCCCCTCTGTTGCCATCCCCCTTAGTGTCATCCGCGATAAGGGCATCTCCGGATCCATCTGCTCCAATATAGGGCTCCTCACTTCGCTGGTGAAGATGTACGTTTGACGTTTGACCGAGTTGAGAAGGAGGTATCAGATTTTCGGAACATACCTGGTATCGAACCTGGTATCAAGAGGAGGTATCATCGGGAGCCGGGACTGAAGTGAGGAGGTATTAGCATGTATGTTTGACGTATGACCAAGGGTAGGTATCAGGCTTTGGATGTGAATGTGGGTGGATGTGAACAGTATAACATTCCCGGTTGGTAGATATAGTATATCGTGAAAGTTGCCTAAGATAATTCAGTGCCTCTGATCCTTGTTGCGAACTTTATACCCTTCCCCCCTTTTCCTCTTCCATCCTCGTTAGTGACATGGCCAACAATTCGCTATCAGGCTCGATTCCCACCAGCCTTGGCAACCTTGCAAGACTGGCCGTCTTGTGAGTAGTTCTAATCAATTTTCTCTGCGCTTTGATACATTCCCTTGCATGTAGACCGTAGAGCACATGATAACAGCAGGGGGAACCTCTCTAGCAGTTGCAGCTTTCCCCCCTGCGCCTTAGCAGTTGCCATCACTTTATTCATTTCATTCCTTCGCAAGTAGAGCACATGATAGCCTGCATTCACTAGATCCGTTTCCTTGTCTCCTCTTTTCCTTTTTCGCCTCGCTCTGACGTGCAGCAACCTTCAGCGGAACCGTCTTACAGGAGACCTCCTTCCCTCGCTCTCTCTCCCCTTCCCAGTCTTCTGTGACTCTTTCCTTTGCCTCGCCATACATCTTAAGCCTTTCCCCTTGTTCACCTCCCTTGCCGCCCCTCTCTCACGTGCAGCAACCTCCAGCAGAACCGTCTCACAGGACACTTCCCCCCCACAATGTCTCGCCTCGCCAGTCTCCAGATGTTGTGAGTGAGCTCAACACATCCACTCATCCCTTCATTTCTTAATTTCATCATCCTCCCTCCCACCCACTGCGAGAGGTCTTTTATACTTTCAAGACTCTCTCACAAAGTCTTCAGCTGGCCTTTCATGCCCCTCGCCTCATCTCTCCCGCGTCGCTTTTGAGAATCCTCAAAAGTGACGCCCCTTCCTCCTCCCCTCTCATCTCTCCGTCTTGGCCCCTCTTATCACCTACTTGCCCCTTCCCCCTACCGTCCCCCAACTCTTTCTCCCCCACTCCCCACTCCCCCCTCACTCCCCATCCGTTTCAGTGATGTAAACACAAACAACTTGTATGGGCCCCTCTTATACCCTGTTGGAACTCTTTCAAACATCAAGCTTATGTAAGTGGTGGTCCCTCCCTTCTTTCTGCTTCGTGCCGTCCCTCCCTTCTTTCTGCTTCGTGCCCTAAAGTTCCTTGGATTTGGGCAGGCTATTCATGTGTTACTCCGTAACCGCCCCCCCCTCCCGCCCCCTGAACTCTACTCCACTTCCAACTGACACCCTCATGTTTGCCTGCCCGTCCAGCAACGTTGCCCGCAACAACTTCAGCGGATCGCTCCCCACCTCCATCTACACCCTCACCAGCCTCCAAGAGATGTATGACTTTCACTCCCTCACTCACTCACTCCCTCACTCCCTCACTCCCTCACTTCACTTGAAGAAACCTTACCACCTCCGTCTACACCCTCACCAGCCTCCATAGCTGTACGACTCTCACTCTCCCCCCCTCTCCCCTCGCTCCCTCTACCTCCCCTTTTACGTCACTCCCGCTCACTACCTCTCTCCCTTTGCTCCCTCTCTGCTCTCACATCTTCTCTCCCTTCACTCCCTATTCCCTCACTCCCTATTCCCTCACTCCCTCCCACCCTTCTCTCCCTCTTTCTCTCCCCTGACACTTCTCCTTGTGCAATTGCAGCTCTCTCATGGTTTCTCTGCCTCTCTCTGCCAGCGCCCTCTGATTCAATCCTAACATCATCTCATTACCCTTATCACCTATCTTCTCACCCCACCCCTACCCCTTCATGCCTGCTCTGCAGGGATGTCTCCGAGAATTCCCTCACGGGCTCCCTGCCTCTCTCTGCCAGCGCCCTCAGCTCCGCTCTTCAAGAATTGACTCGCTCATGTTGTCATCACCCCCTCCCCTCCCCTCCACATCATGCCTGCTCTGCCCTGCAGGGACGTCTCCGAGAATTCTCTCACGGGCTCCCTGCCTCTCTCTGCCAGCGCCCTTAGCGGTTTGCAGATGCTGTACGTTGTCATAGCGTTTTTTATCCGTCTCGGAAACTCCCCGAAAAATGCTGCAGGTTGGGTTAGGTTGCGCTCGTTTTCTTGAGTTGTGAGACGCCTCAAAACTCCCCCAAGATCCTGTGAGTTTGGTTGATTTTTTCTCTGTGCAACCATGTGCCCCCACACATCCCACCCGATCCCATCCCACCGCACTGCATCCCACCCCATCCCATCCCATCCCACCGCACCCCATCCCACACCTACAGCAACATGGTGAACAACCGCTTCTCTGGCGAGTTACCAACCACTCTTGGCAACCTCACAAGCCTCACCCGCGTGTAAGCAGGCAGTGAAAGGCATTGTTAGCAACAGGTGGGAGCAAGTAAATACCATCCCTAGCAACTGCTTCTTTGGCATTTGAGGCGCCTCAAAATTCAACGCATTGTTGGCAACACGTGTGTGAGCAAGTAAATACCATGCCTAGCAACTGCTTCTTTGGCAATCTACCATCCACGAGCGTGGCTTGTGAGGGTGTTGAGCGTATTATTTGCTGCCAGTGAGCTGTCTCTCTCGCACTAGTCGCTCCCTTGGCAATCTTTCCCGCTCTAGTCGCACTCGCCGCTGGTTTGCGGCAAATCATCTGCCTACCTGCCTGCCTTCCCCCTGTGTTTGCAGCGAGCTGGGAAGAAACTATTTCACGGGGTCTCTGCCGACTTCCCTTGGGCAGCTCACTGCGCTCATCAGCCTGTGAGTCTGCCATGCCAACGCCCTCACTCACTCACCCCTATTGAGGTGCTCTCTGCCGACTTCCCTTGGGCAGCTCACTGCGCTCATCAGCCTGTGAGTCTGCCAACCCTCTTATCTCCCCTCTTGCGGTGACTCAAAACTCACTGCTCTTAGCAACCTGTGTGTCTTTTGAGTTGAGTCAAAGGGGAGCTGGGAAGAAACTATTTCATGGGCTCTCTGTCAACCTCCCTTGGGCAGCTCACTGCTCTCATCAGCCTGTGAGTCTCCCTACGCTCTCACCCATGCTACGAGGCACCATACCCTCTCAGCTGGGAGCACTCAGTAGCCCTTTCCTTCTCTCTTCCCCTCCTCCGTTCCGTCCCCCCCTATCCTCCCTGTCCCCTTAATCAGCGGGCTACAGGGCAACACGCTAGGCGGCTCCATACCCTCTCAGCTGGGAGCACTTATCAGCCTCAACACACTGTACGTATCGCCGTGATGTCTTGCTCGTGTTATAATCAAAATATAATCGTATCCCATTGGTGGGCATGACACGCCGCCCCAGGAGTGCCAGTGCTGCCCACCTGATGCCAGTGCTGCCCACCTGATGCCAGTGCTGCCCACCTGATGCCAGTGCTGCCCACCTGATGCCAGTGCTGCCAACCTGATGCCAGTGCTGCCCACCTGATGCCAGTGCTGCCCACCTGATGCCAGTGCTGCCCACCTGGTGTGTCACACCATCACCAGCGACATGCCAAGAGGCTCCCTTGCCTTCCCGCCATCTCAATCCCCCTTCCCGTCCCATCTCTGCTCACCTCTCCTTCCACTTCCCCCCATCTCGTCCCCCCCCTTCCCCATCACCAGCGACGTGTCCAACAACCAGTTCTGGGGCGCTCTTCCCGCCACCCCAATCCCCCCATTTCCACCCACCTTTCCTTCCGCCTCTCTCCCTCTCCCCCTTCTCCTCCCCACCATCACCAGAGACGAGTCAAACAACCAGTTCTGGGGCGCTCTTCCCCGTATTCCTCAAAACTCGTTCCCTCCTCTTTTCCCCCCCATCTCTCCCCCCTTCTCCCCTTCCCCCCCCACCATCACCAGAGACGTCTTCAACAACCAGTTCTGGGGCGCTCTTCCCGCCACCCCAATCCCCGTTCCTCCACATCTCCCAATTCTCCTCCCACCTCCCCCACTCGCCTCCCTCCTTTCCTCCCACCCCAATCGCCAGTGACGTGTCCAACAATCAGTTGAACGGCGCTCTTCCCGCCACCCCAATCCCCGTTCCTCCACATCTCCCAATTCTCCTCCCACTCCCCCCCCCTTTCTCCCAATCACCAGCGACTTGTCTAACAATCAGTTACGGGGCGCTCTTCCCGCCACCCTTGGGAATCTCTCCTCCCTCACTGACCTGTAAGCAGGTCTTGTCTCTGTTTTGAGTGATCGTTCAAGCTGACTCTTGGAGAAACGCCAAAGCTCCCACATAACAGAGGTGATAGAAATAAGGCCACCACATCCCACCCACCTGTACTCCTCCAACAATCAGTTCCGCGGCGCTCTTCCCACCACAATCATTAGTCTCTCCTCACTCACTGACCTGTAAGCTAAGCGCACGCGTGAGTGTGTATCCACTGGCACACTCACTGGCGTGAGTGTGAAGAAGCTCACACACACGCTTCTTCACATCACACTCACTCAGTAGCACCAGCCGACGCGACTTTTGAGTCGACTCAAGAGTCACCTGTAAGCTAAGCGCACGCATGTGTATCCACTGGCACACTCACTGGCATGAGTGTGAAGAAGCTTCACATCACACTCACACACGCGCTTCTTCACGTCACACTCACTCAGCAGCAGCCGACGCTCCATCTGCTGTGTGGCAGGGGACCCGCTGTGCACGCCCTTCTCTTACCTCTCCACCTACTTTTTCTCCCTCATTCTCCCCCCTCAACTCAATCTCCCAAACATTAAACGCAGCAAAATAGGCCAGCAGCTGGGTTTGATGTTTGGGAGACCCCCCCAATGTAGTGCGGGCAGACCCCCTCCTGTCCTCGCCGTTGCCTTGACTCCCTGTCTAATTTGGCCCCTCTGTTCCCTCGATTCCCCCCTTCACTTCAAACAAAAAAAGATAGGGGGCACAGACCTCACGTGCCGGTCAGCAGCAGGGCACCCCCCATGCGGCGTGTGGCAAACACCCTCCTCTCGCTTTGCAGCGTGTGGCAGGACTTCTCCTGTGCTCGCCATTGCTTGCCACTTTGCCTGATCTGGCCCCTCAATCCTCTCTTGTCTCTTTCCATTGCAGCAAAATAGGCGGCACCGATTTTTTAGGCGCCTCAAAAAATCATTGCAGCAAAATAGGCAGCACCGATCTCACGTACCCGTCAGCAGCAGGCCACCCCCCATGTGGCGTGTGGCAGGATGCCTCCTCTGAGTTTTGTCCAACTCAAACCCCCCTATCCAAAACCCTATCCACACCACAGCAAAATAGGCGGAACGGACCTCATGTGCCCCTCGGCAGCAGGCCACCCCCCATGTGGCGTGTGGCAGGATGCCTCCTCTGAGTTCTGCCAGACCTGCCCCGCCTTCTGCACCAACTGCTCCACTGCTGCTCTGCCACCTAAACCAGGTAAACAAGGTGACATGGTCACATGGTAACCAGGTAACAAGGTCAATAACCAACCGGCTGATCACTGTGTGGCCTGGCAGACCCCCTCCTCTGAGTTTTGCCAGACCTGCCCCGCCTTCTGCACCAACTGCTCCACTGCTGCCCTGCCACCCAAGCCAGGTAACGCTTTAACATGGTAGTGAATTGGGTGTTTGGTTGGTGGTGGTAATTATCAGGCGTGTGGCAGGATGCCTCCTCTGAGTTCTGCCAGACCTGCCCCGCCTTCTGCACCAACTGCTCCACTGCTGCCCTGCCACCCAAGCCAGGTAACGCTTTAACATGGTAGTGAATTGGGTGTTTGGTTGGTGGTGGTAATTATCAGGCGTGTGGCAGGATGCCTCCTCTGAGTTCTGCCAGACCTGCCCCGCCTTCTGCACCAACTGCTCCACTGCTGCTCTGTCGCCCAAGCAAGGTACTTTCAGTCTGTTGCCTCGAAAGTGCTGCTAGCCAACACCTAGTATCAAAGGCATTCTGAATGGTGAGGCGCGGCGCCTCGATCGAAACTCCCCTTTTCGTGTCTCAAAAGAGTGCTGAAATCAGGCAGCATAGCATAGCACAGCACAGCGCAGCGCAGCGCAGCGCAGCACAGCGGAGCGCAGCGCAGCGCAGCGCAGCGCAACATAGCACAGCGCACGCGTTTGTGCTTATTGTAATCTGTCCCTCCTCCTGCCCTTTCATTGCATCTTTCCCTCTTGCTCGTGCTGGCGATGCTGTTTTCCCTCTGCGGGTCCTTCTTCAGGTGCTGCTGCACCCACGAGCCCAGCCCCCTCTCCTCCTCCTCCTCCTCCTCCTCCTCCTCCTCCTCCTCCTCCTCCTCCTCCTCCTCCTCCTCCTCCTCCTCCTCCTCCTCCTCCTCCTCCTCCTCCTCCTCCTCCTCCTCCTGCTGCTGCTGCTCCATCATCCGCGCCCACTTGTCACCAGGGCCCTTTTGCTCATTGCGTGTGTTCCCTCCTGCTCTCTCTGCTGTTGCTGTTTTTCCCTCTGCAGATCCTTCTTCAGCTGCAGCTGCACCCACGAGCCCAGCCCCCGTGCCTTGCCTCCTGCGGCTGCTGCTGCAGCATCCTTGTCCACTCCTCGCCAGGGCCCTTTGTGCTCATTGCACGTTTTCCCTCTTGCTATGTTTTATCCTGCAGGTCCTTCCTCAGCTGCAGCACCCACGAGCCCTCCCCTCTCTCCTCCTGCGGCTGCTGGACCAGCCTCAGAAGCGCGCTAGTGTCATTGCGTGTTTTTCCCCTCTTCCCGGCACTACTGTTGTTGTTTTCACCTGCAGCTGCAGCTGCACCCACGAGCCCTGCCCCCGCTCCTCCTGCGGCTGCTGCAGCATCCTTGTCCACTCCTCGCCAGAAATTCATCATTGGAATTGCTGTGGGGGCCGCAGCGCTGCTGCTGCTGGGTGCCCTTGGCATCTACCTCTGGTTCCGCTGCTCCTCCAGAGGTGGGTGTGTGTGTGTTAGCGCGAGTGGGTGTGAATGTGTGTGGTACCAGAACCGCTCCTACTCCTGCTGCTGCTCCATCCACGCCCACTACTCGCCAGGGATTCATCATCGGAATTGCTGTGGGAGCAGCGGCGCTGCTGTTGATGGGTGCGCTTGGCCTCTATCTCTGGTTCCGCTGTTCCTCCAGAGGTGGGTGTGTGTGTGTAAGAGTGTAATGTGTGAGTGTGTGTGGTACCAGCATGTCTGCTCCATCCTCCTCCTTTCACCCCGTCCTACTCGTGCCGATACCCTGTGCCTTGTGCCCTGTGCCCTGTGCCCTGTGCCCTGTGCCCTGTGCCCTGTGCCTTGTGCCTTGTGCCCTGTGCCTTGTGCTCTGTGCCTTGTGCTCTGTGCCTTGTGCCTTGTGCCCTGTGCCTTGTGCTCTGTGCCTTGTGCTCTGTGCCTTGTGCCTTGTGCCTTGTGCCCTGTGCCCTGTGCCCTGTGCCTTGTGCCCTGTGCCTTGTGCCCTGTGCCCTGTGCAGCGAAGCCCAATCACGAGAGCATGTCAAGTTGGCCCTCATGTGTCGACGCTACTCTCAGCTGCAAGTGAAAAGCATCTGTGCCCCGCTCTCCTCCCTGCACCCTCCCATCCCTCCCCTGCTTCCTTGTACCCTTGCCTCTGTGCAAGCAAGCCCGACCATCATTCCATCCCAAGCCACATTCTCATGTGCCGGCGCTACTCCCTCGAGCAAGTCAAGAAAATGTGTGCCCCACCCTCCTCCCTGCACCCTCCTGCCCTCCCCCCTTCTCTTCACCCTTCCCCTGTGCTCCCTGTACAGGCAAGCCCGAGGCTCCTCCCATCCCAAGCCAGATTCTCATGTGTCGGCGCTACTCTCTCGACCAAGTCAAGAAGGCAACAGGGGGATGGGCGGAGGCGAATCATATCGGGACGGGCGGGTATGGCGAGGTGTATAAGGGGGTGTGCCCGTTTGATGACTCGGTGGTGTGGGCTGTGAAGCGCGCCAAGATTCTCACGAATGACTTCAAACGAGAGGTGTGTGGGAGTGGGGGGCAAACCACATCGGGATGGGCGGGTACAGGGAGGTGTATCGGGGGGTGTACCCGTTTGATGACTCGGTGGTGTGGGCTGTGAAGCGCGCCGCCAAGATACTCACCAACGACTTCAAGCGAGAGGTATTTGGTGTGGTGTGGTGGGGTGTGGTGCGGTGTGGTGCGGGGTATGAAGCTGTTGGGTGTGCTGGTGTAGGATGGGATGGGTGCATCACCAGGGAGTGCCTTTTTGGTGGTGTGGGCTGTGAAGCGCGCCAAGACATGCACGAATGACTTCAAACTAGACGTGTGTGTTTGTGTGTGGTGTTTTGTGGTGGGGTGCGGTGGGGTGTGGTGTGGTGTGGGGTATGAAGCGGTTGAGTGCACTGTTGTAGGATGGGATGGGCTTAGTGGGGAATGCCCCTTTGTGTACCCGTTGGTGGTGTGGGCTGTGAAGCGCGCCAAGATTCTGACAAATGACTTCAAACGAGAGTTGGGGTGGGGTGGGGTGGGGTGGGGTGGGGTGGGTTGGGATGAGGTGGGGTGTGGTGTGGCGTGGTGTGGGGTATAAAGTGGTTGACTGCAGTGGTTTAGGATGGGATTTGTGTATCGAGAGTGCTGACGTGGCATGGCAGGTCACATATTCCCACTTGCGTTGCTCTTTTTCTTTTTTTCTCGTTCATTTCCTTTCCCCATGCAAGTGGGGGAGATTGCATCAAAGAGGAGCAATAGTCTCACGACTTCACTGCCAGCCTCGCCTTTCTTGTCACAGGAAAAAAGATAGAGACTCGACCCAGATCCAGCAGGCAAAACTCGTTTTAAAATCCACTATTTACTCATTGAAAGAAGCACAATAGGCGCCTCAAAAGCAGTCCTGCATTGTCACTGCCCGCCACGCCTTTCTGTCCTCTTCCATTCATTCCTCATGCAGGTGGAGGAGATGGCAACAAAGAGCCATCCGCACTTGGTGCGGCTGCTGGGGTACTGTGTGGACATGGATATGACAACAGAGCACCACGAGCAGATTGTTATTTATGAGTTTTGCGCCAATGGGGACCTCGAGAAGTATCTAAATGGAGGTGAGTGGAGAGGTGGTATAAGAGTTAATGTGTGGTGATCCTCTACATAGAATGTAAATGTACAAATATATCATCTGTAATCTAAGTATACATGTACACATATTGATACTATACGTGTGCATCTATGTGTATAAAGAATTGTATGTACATATGTGTATATATATAATGAAAGATACATATAGAATGCATAAACTTAGATGAAAATACTTTTACATATACATATAAGCACACATACATACGTATATATATTTATATGTGCATCATATATGTATGTATACGTAGGTGTATGAGGGTTTCTCCGACACACGATCGCCTTGTGCCTATGGCAGGTGCTCGGGAGGGCGAGTTGACGCTGCAGCAGCGCATGGATGTGCTAGTGGGTGTGGCGCGGGGGTTGGAGTACCTCCACCAGTTTGACATCGTGCATCGAGACATCAAGCCCGCCAACGTGCTGCTCGATGCCCGCATGCAGGTGAGAGGAGGGGTAAAAGGGAGGGAGTGAGGTGGAGGGCGATGGAGTGCGGTTGGGAAGCCAACATCCTTTCTCATGGCAGGGCTAATGTGCTTTCCTGTGTCCTCTATTAGAAAAGTTGTACAAATCAATTTATGTATATTTCAATTACATTATGTGGAATACATATAATATATATCGTCTGCATATAATTTGAGTGCGAGGACAATTGCGATAGTTGAGTTGAGTGCGGTCGTGTCGGGGGATGATGGAGGGACTGGATGGAGACATCAAGCCTGGCAACGTGCTGCTCGATGCCTGCATGCAGGTACGGGGAGGAAGGGTAGAAGAGAGGGAGAGAGGGGGAGGGCGATGCAGTGCGGCTGGGCTGGGGAACCCAATATTCTTTTTCGTGGAAGGGCTAATGTGTTTCCTGTATCATCCCCCCGCCGTTCTTTCATCTCCAGCTGAAGGTCTCAGACTTTGGGGTGGTGCGCATGACAGCAACCTTTATCTTTATCAAAATTCCATCTCTCATTCTTTCTGCTGCAGGCGAAGCTATCAGATTTCGGGCTGGTGCGCATGACAGCAACCTTCATGTTTTTCATCTCTCCTCCCTTCATCTGCAGCCAAAGATATCAGATTTCGGGCTGGTGCGCATGATGGCAACCTCTTGTAATTTTATTCCCTCCCCTCCCCTCTCTTCTTCTTTCCAGCCGAAGGTCTCAGACTTTGGGTTGGTGCGCATGACAGAAGGCACCACAGTGAACCCCACCCGAGTGGTCGGCACTCCGGGCTATGTGGATCCTGCTTACTCTCGCACCAACAAGGCCACTCCCATGGCTGACGTGCACAGGTGGGTGGGTGTTTGGTTCAAGAGCAAAAATCTAGAAGCAAGGCCACCCCCATTGCTGATGTGCACAGATGGGAATGCTGTTGCCTCTATGAGTATGCTGTTGCCTCTATGAGTATGCTGTTGCCTCTATGAGTATGCTGTTGCCTCTATGAGTATGCTGTTCTATGAATAGAACAAATAACGTTGTTCTAATCCACCATGTTCTTCGTTTCTCCCTGCAGCTACTTTATTTGTTGCTGTAGAAGGTGATAACGTTGACGGTTGAAGCCTATATCTGGATGTGTTGCTGCTCCGATTCATTTAGTTCTATTCCCCCATGCGATTCTCTCCCCACCGCAGCCACGGTGTGCTGCTATTGGAGGTGATAACACTGAAGCCGGTCATTCTCTCGCTGAACTGAATCACATCCGGACATCACTTTGCTCCCCCGTGTGCCACATTCCCCACCGCAGCTACGGTGTGCTGCTACTGGAGGTGATAACACTGAAGCCGGTCATTCTATCGATCGACGGCGGGCAGTTCAACATCAAGGACTGGGTATGTATGTATGTGCATGCATGTGAATCAGCACTTTTATGTATGTGAATTGGTGGGTGCATGGGTGGGTGCATGGGCGTACCTTCCACAGAACACACATTTTGCTAACGGCGGGCAGTTCAACATCAAGGACTGGGTACGTGTGTGCGTGTGTGCGACAGCATTCAAGGACCACCTTCCTCACTCACTCTGCCTCACCACATCACCGTTCTTCGCTTCTTATTGACCCATCGCCCCACCTTCCCTCGTCTCAGGTCCGCCCGTTCGTGCAGGAGAGCAAGGTGGCAGCATTCAAGGACCCCCTGCTTCCACGCCACCTATGGAATACGCGACCACGTCAACATTCTTTTCATAAATTTACACATCCCTACCCACCTTCCCACCTCCCCATCTTCCAACTCCCATTTCTCTCCTCTCAGGTCCGCCCCTTTGTCGAGGAGAGCAAGGTGGCAGCATTCAAGGACCCTCTCCTTCCAGAAGCTTCCGACGATCTCATTCTCACTCTCGCCAAGATCGGCCTGCAGTGCACCGCCCTCCCAGCCTCCTCGCGACCCCCCATGTCCGAAGTTTCCCGCAAGCTCGAAACCCTAAAAAGGGAGCATTTTCACAGCAGCGGCATGGACGGTCGAGATCCGTCGGACGTGGACCAACGTCTGGCTAAAATTGATCAGGAGCTTGACAGGCGGGCGGAATCGGGATTGTCGATCCAAGCAGAGTTTGTTCGGCTGAATATTATGTCGGAAAGCGGGGAGTATATTAAAGAGACTGAGATTTCTGTTGCTGGTGGTGGTTACTCGGACCGGTCTTCGGGGGTGCTGCTGCAGTCTCAGGAGATTTCTCAGGAATTTTGTCAGGAGATTCCCAGTGGCAGGTGAAAGAGACTCAGGGGGGCCCTTAGTGAGAAATGCACTTCGTTTTTCTTATGTCCTATTGTTGCACTGTTTCTGAAGTGTGCTCTCCCTTAGTAATGTCAGGTACATTAACTGATTGTAACTGGGTTTGACAACCAGCGTTAGCTAGGGAGTTAATAATGTAATCTGTATCATGTAGTATCTAGTGTGTACTGCAATTGGTGTTTTGCGTAAATTCTATTTGAAATCCTGAAAGAATGTTACATACGTTGACTGAAATTTCTATTTTAAAAAATATATATATATAAAATTTTAAAAGCAAAAACAAGTAATAAATCGCTCAAGAAGGAACTTAGGCGTAAGCATGAAGATTGATTTGGTGTACACTACAACAAGCCCTGCGCTGTGCATCGTGGAATATGTATCATGTTACTGCGTCTAATTTGTATTGAAATTGGTGTTGAGGTGAACCTGAAATCCTGAAAGAATGTTATCCATTGACTGAAATTCCCAGTGAAAAGGGAGAAAATAGCTCAAAAAGGAACTTTGGCGTAAGCATGAACATTGGTATACAACAAGCCCTACGCTGAGCTGCAGAGAGGCTACAATCTCAGGTTCACCCTCGAGCATCATGACTAATTCCCCTCTTCCCACAGGTGTATTCACCAGTGCAGTCATGCCGTGTGATGTGAACGTGGTTACTTTCACTTCTTGGCTGCGGGTGCAGCCTCGGCAGCTGCGGGCTCCTGAACACCCTGTGAGAAATAATGAAGAGTGAGGGATGGGAAGAAGAGGAGATGAGACGACCAGGAGTAAGGGGAGGTCGATCAGGAGGGACGAGGAGGGATGGGGAGGGATGGCAAGGGGGGATTGAAGGGAAGATGATTGGGGATGGGGGATGGGCCTGAAAGAAGTGTAAAGAAAGCTGGCTTAGCATCGGGGGACCTGTAAACGTGTGCAAATTACCCCAACCACTCCATTTCACCGCACTCCACCAAAATTCAATCACTCCTCCCAGCACCAGGCACTTTCTCTGGGCAGAAAGCTAAGTCCAACCCCAGGACGTAGTAAGAGCTTACTTCTGGCACAGCAAGCCCAAAACTCAAAAAACGACACTTGCCTTAACGCTTGCTTTTTTACAAAACCCCAATTCTTCCGCTCACTTCCCCTCTCCGTCCCCCTTCCCCTCCCCCTTCCCCTCTCCCTTCCCTCTCTCCTTCTTCCCTCCCCCTTCCCCTTCCCCTTCCCCTTCCCTTTTGCTCCTTCTTCCCTCCCATTCCCCTTCCCCTTCCCTCGCTCCATTTCCCGTCCCCCTTCCTCCTCCGCTCCCCCTCACCTGCACCAGTCGCTCCTCCCGCCGCGCCATCTTCCGCTTCCTAGACGCCTTGCTTTCGACGCGGCGCGCTTGCTCTTGAACATGCCGTTCCGCACCGCACTCAGCAACTCACAACCGCCCGCACTCCACCCAACCCATTCTCACCTGAGCCAACCGCTCCTCCCGCCGCGCCATCTTGCGCTCCCTAAACGCCTTGCTCTTGGCGCGGCGCGCCTCGAACTGGTCGGTGAGCGTCTTCTCGCGAACATTCTCCGCCTTGAGCTTGTGAATGCTCTCCATGAGCACGCGCTTGTTCTTGTACACATCGCCAGGAACCGCAATCAACCGCTCATAACCTGCCCTGCAACGCACTCAATCACTCCCAACCACCACTCCACCGCACTCAACCAATCACAACCGCCCTGTACCGCACCCAACCCATTCTCACCTGCGCTCCTCCCGCCGCGCCATCTTCCGCTCGCGCGACGCCTTGCTCTTGGCGCGGCGCGCCTCGAACTGGTCAGTGAGCGTCTTCTTGCGAACCTTCTCCGCCTTGAGCTTGTGGATGCTCTCCATGAGCACGCGCTTATTCTTGTACACACCGCCCGGAACCGCACTCAACCACTCACGACCACCCCGAAACCCGATAAACCACTCGTTACGACCAATTCACCGCACTCAACCGCTCACAACCTCCCCGGACCGCATACAACTGCTCAGAACCGTAGCACACCGCACTCAGCTCACCTGCGCCAACCGCTCCTCCCGCCGCGCCATCTTGCGTTCCCTGGACGCCTTGCTCTTGGCGCGGCGCGCCTCGAACTGATCCGTGAGCGTCTTCTCGCGAACCTTCTCCGCCTTGAGCTTGTGAATGCTCTCCATGAGCACGCGCTTGTTCTTGTACACGCCACCCTTGACCTTCATATACAGCTCGTGGTACAGGTGCTTGTCGATCTTCTTCGCCTCGCGGTAGCGCTTCAGCATGCGCCGCAGCACGCGCATGCGCCGCAGCCACAGCACCTTCGTGGGGAGACGCGCCTCGCGGGTACCGCGGCGCTTACCTGGAGATTGGCAAAGAATGGAAGAAGGAAGAGGAGGTCGGGGGGAAAAGCGGGGAAGGGGGGAGTAGGCGGGGAAGGGGGGAGTAGGCGGGGAAGGGGGGAGTAGGCGGGGAAGGGGGGAGTAGGCGGGGAGGGGAGGGGGCGGCGGGGAGGAGAGCCAGGACAGCAGGAAGAGGGGAATGCGTTGGAAAATAACGTCCGTTCTTGTCACGCGCCGAACGTACTCTTCGACAAACAATGCCACCCACACTCGTAATGGGTCTCAATTTTCTTTTCTCTGCAGGACTCCACGCTGCACTAGCACTTCGAAGGGAACGTCGAAACTTGAAGCGATCTGCCCGCTGTAACATCGCAACGACCTCTCTGTGGAAGGATTGAACGCTACGCTTGGCTGGATTTCGCCAAAAGCTCCACTATGTTACATCCTTAAGCGCCGTTGGCGAGCGCCGTTAAAGTCGCCGCTGAAAGCGCCGTTAAAGTCGCCACTGCAGCGCCGTTCAAGTCGCCGCTGGCAGCGCCGTTAAAGCCGCCGCTGGCAGCGCCGTTGGACAGCGACGCTCGAACTCCATAAGTAACGCCACGATCGCTTAGGGGGGCGCTCTCCTACAGAACCTTCTGCTCCACCCTACGCTAGATCGCTTCAGCTCCACCCATCCCCTAGATGAGCCAATCTGCTGCACCGCCTGACGGAAACTTGGTCCAAATCCTACTCGTCGTGGGATAGAAAGATCTGGCCGTTACCATGATCATAATCAATAAAGAAATTCGAGAAACAGCCCACTTAATGGTGAAAGAAAATCCAATGCGCATTCTATCAAATCTGATCTCTCCAATCTCCAGTCAGAACTCGAGGGGGTTCCGTAAGTTTTACGCAGTTCTAGGGCCCGAATCTGAGACGGCTTAACACTCTCCAACGAAACCCTTAATTCCGAACTGAGACGGCTCAAAACTCTGCTGCGCAGCCCTAGGGTCCGTTATCCGTGCACCAGTGACGGCGCGCCGGTGCGATAAGCCCCTGTCTATCGTTACTGTAGCCTGCGTACTTGAGCCGGTTAGTAAACCCTTCCGGTTCACAAAAAAAAAAAAAGCGCGCGTCTCCCGATTAAAACACCGTCAAGAATCTCTACCGGAACTTCGCCGTTACCATGATCACTGTCGCCGCTTATGACTGGACGTCAGCCCATTGTCAACCACTACCAAGGACTCCTCTAGGCATCGGGCAGCCGGCAAAAGCAGAGGGTTGTTCGAGAATTACAAAAAGGAAATACTCATGAGTGTACGAAAAATCACGTATCCTTACCGTGGCCAGTGTGGCGGCCCTTCCTCTTGGCCTCGAGCAGGCGGCGCGCGCGGAAGCGCGAGTGGATCTTCTGCGGCTTGCGGATGATGAAGCCATCCTTCACGAGCTTGCGGATGTTTTGCCCTGAAATGGGGGAGGAGCAAGGGGGAAGGGATAGGGGGAGCGGGGAAGGGGTAGCGGGGAGCGGGGAAGGGGTAGCGGGGAGCAGGGAAGGGGTAGCGGGGAGCGGGGAAGGGGTAGCGGGGAGCGGGGAAGGGGTAGCGGGGAGCGGGGAAGGAAGGGGGGGAGGGGGGGTGGAGGAGCGGGAGGGGAAATGGAAGGTGAGAGGAGAGGGGAAACATATTTTGCGGCTTGCGGATGATGAAGCCGTCCTTCGCGAGCTTGCGGACGTTTGCCCTGAAGGGGGAGAGGAGACGGGGGGTAGGGGGAAGAAAGGGGGAGGGATGGGGACGATGGGGGAAGTACGGTTGTGATATGAAGAGAAGGGGGTAAAAGAGGAAAAATTCAGAGGAAGGATAAGTCTTCTGCGGGTTACGGATACTGAAGCCGTCGTTCACGAGCTTGCGGATGTTTTGCCGTAACCGGGGGAAACGGGGGGGAATGGAGTGTAAGGAGGTTCAAGACGGTAGACTTTGGTCGACTTCTTTAACTTCTCGAATCAGCTTCACGATAGAAAGTCGTCCGTGGCTGGCTTCGGGGTGTCTCGTAATAAACGAGCGGAGAACGGGATACCCAGGAAGACCTCCAAATCAGGAAGCTAGATTCGTATCCCTCAGCTTTTGAGTCAACTCAAAAGCTAGATTCGTATCCCTCAACCCAACGGAGTCCTCAGAAAGACGATAAACGGGAGCAGGACTCAATCGCGATAGCCAGCAAATCACTCGATTGCGAGAATGCGGTGCATAAGAACAGGCAAGGCGAAGCTGACGTGGCGAATCCCGATCCAAACTTTTCGTATTTTGGAATCGAAGTGGAGCTATTTGAAAGCAGACTGGCGGAGAAAACTGGCGGCGCATAATCCTATCTTCTTTATCAAAACGGAGCGGCGATAGTGATAGAAAGCGAGGGTTGAGCGAGGACGCTGGAGCGACGAGGGTGGGGCGAGAAGGTAAGAAATAACGGGCGTGGGGCGAAGAGTGGAGCGATGAGGGTGGAGCGAGGCGAGTGGAGCGACGAGAGAGGAGCGTTGCGAGTGCGATGCGAGAGGAGCGACGGTGGGGCGAGGGTGAGGCGAGATCTCGTGAGGGTTAGGGTAACGCACTGGAGTTGGCCATGGAGATTTCGTTGACTTCATTGGGGTCCATCCACACCTTGTTGCGCCCGCAGTTCAGCACGCTCGAAGCGAGCC